CATTCATATGCATCCTTAGGGACATTTTTTTTATGTGTGTTTTACTAGTATGGTACCACCATAGTATGCTATCTAGTACTTTTTTAGGGGGAGATGCAAGCATTTTATGTGGTGTGGTAGATTTCTACAACTCACCTGACTTAATTTAAACAGGCGTCTCCACTTCGACACCTACAAATGTATACTCTATAGGCGTCTCCTATTCGACACCTACAAATGTATACTCTATAGGCGTCTCCTATTCGACACCTACAAATGTATACTCTATAGGCGTCTCCTATTCGACACCTACAAATGTATACTCTATAGGCGTCTCCTATTCGACACCTACAAATGTATACTCTATAGGCGTCTCCTATTCGACACCTACAAATGTATACTCTATAGGCGTCTCCTATTCGACACCTGCTTCGAGTCGGATAATGTCTGGCCCCTATTGAACACTATCAATTGGGAATAATGTCTCTTGTGTTCACCTTAAGCACTATCACTTGGGAATGGAAATAAGATCTCTAGTGTTCCACTAAACATCATCTGGGAATAGAAGTAAGAACTCTATAGTGCCTAGCCTGCCGTGCAGAAGTAATCCGACATACTCCAGACAATGCCTTTGGATATGCTTTAATCACGGCTGGGAGGATCTCCAATTTCAGAGAGAATCCCCTCAACCAAAAGAGCACAACAGTTTATATAGAATGAATGCATGGCAAAAGTGACATGATTCATTGCATCATTTTTCTTTAATGTGATTGGTTCATATGATTCTCTTTTACTAGGTCATGAGGTTAAATATGTCACTATATTCAGACAGCTGTCTCGTTTTGTTTCCTCTTTTGTTATATTCAGACACAGTAACTTTGGCCCATGTGTTGAAGACATTTTAGTTTTCAAATACTGGTAAATGTTAATCCTGCAAGAAAAAGGAATGCTAGTTATGACCTCTGGTTATGACTATTTAAACATTTCCTTCACAATCGGCATTTCGTTCAGGGTATTTTTTCTGTTGAATGGACCAGACAGAGAAAATGCTAAATTTGAGAGTGTTTACTAGTGAAGTGTGAATGCAGGTTAACTATTGTAGAAAACACCCTGTGTTAGTGTGCTGAGAAATCAGTGTGTGGAGCTTTATCCTAGTTTTACACACTAAACTACAGTTAACGTAGGTAAATGACATGTAAGTGGGTCAGTTCACAATGACACTTCTTTTCCTCTAACCCTCTGTTCCTGTATCCACACAGCTTTCGCACCCAGGGAGAGAGACTACTAGTTAGCCGCAGTGCTAATGCTAAGGATAAAAAAATGGCTGTAGGTTAGTGTGCAGATAGGAATAATGCTGTATAATAGGTGACCTGTGCAATAGTTTAAATCTATCCACCTGCATACTAAACACAGACGTAATGCCCAGCTGTGCTATCATTGCTTTGGATGGGGCAGGTGGCATTAGCCATTACATGAGCATCCAGCGCTTTTCAGATAGTCTGGTGTGTGATGTAATGCATTGACCTGCCAGGTGTGTGTGCTAGTGGAAACTATGAATAGAGTGGAAGTGAATGGAAGAGAATATATAACTCATTTTGACTAATTATGACTAATTTTATTAGCGGAAGGAGCTTAAGCTACATTGTTCAGGTTTATTATGCAATGATGCTGGCTGTATATTATATCATGTATATTAGGTATAAAAAAAACTGCCGTTTCCCCCCCAGAAACACACACACACGATTCCAAACACAAACAGATGTCTGCAGTGCTCTGGATTTGTGAATGGTGCACGACTGTGTCAGGCTTCTGTTGAATAATGCAACAGGACACGGCGGCCATAGTAAAACCCCAGAGCAGAGCCCAGGGGACGCGGGAGATACGATCATTAATCAGTCAGTACATGTACATGCTCAGAAACAGATCTCTCCAGACACTAAAGATCACAGCACCCTGCAGAAAAATAGAGAGGTATTATTGAACTGGTTTCCTCGTCGCTAGCTAGTATGCTAGCTTCAAATGCAGAGCAGAAAAACGTTCAATATGTTTCAGTTTTGCTGTGATATTTGCAGTACAAAGGAGAAGTTTGTTAAATTGATTGCTCAGGTGTTGTGCTTTCATACCTCAGGAGACTTAATGAATTTCTCATTGTTTCATTCAAGTATCAATCAACAGTAGCTATGTTTCCATCCAAAGTTGCGAATTTAACTTATGCGCAGATTTGGAATATAGGATAAAACATTTGCGAATAAAGCACCGTTTCCATAGAGTTTCTCAAAGAGAATAAAATCGTCAATTCCTGACTGTAATAATTTTGTGAATTTTGACAAAACGCAACGAACACGTTATCTTGCTTTCTGAGGTGGATACCTGCTGTTTGGGAACGCAGTCGTGTAAGACAGTTCTGGGAGGTTATTATACCGAACCACTTTGCTTAGGCATTTCAGAATGACCAAATCAGCATTTCAGACACTGTGCAACTAGTTCGGTCTTCTGGTTGGTCTAGTTATGCCGTCCCATCGCAAAGTCACATGTTTTTTTTTTTATGCGCACCGAGAAATTTATTCGGTAAATGTGTTTCAATCGTAGTTTAGTTGAGTGCATACGTTTATTATGTGCATTTTTAGAATTTAAGTGCATTTTGGCATTTTCATCCATGTTTTTTATGCAATATCCCAAAATGTTCTTTAAAATAGGTGGATGAAAATTATCTTTGTTTATCCTGAAAAAAGAAGCGGATGAGATGACTATTGACTAAGAGTAGCTACAATATAAAATTAATGTGGATAGTATAGCTCAGGTTATATGATTTGAGGAAAATTTGATGAGAAATGTTTGTTCACGTGGAGATTATTTGTTTTCAAAAGAATTTGATGACAGTTGTTCATATCGAGACTGCTCAGAATATGCATGCATAAGAGTGATCTGCATAAGAGAACTTTATGATGATTGATTGATTGATTGCTTTATTATCCCCTTAGGGAAATTTTGTTGCTTGTGTTTCAGCATGCGTACATACAAGACCAACAATATAAATAAATACAGAAAAAAAGAGAAAAAACTAATCTTCACTGAGACCCGCTCAGTAAACACCAACACTACATATCATTTAACAATTTTACTGCCCGTGGCAACAAGGAATTTTCCCCCCTATTTAAAAAAATGGCTGGCATCCTAAATCTTCGACCCGAGGGTAATCTCTCAAATTTATCATACAGAGGATGCCTATTGTCTTGTATAATTTTTGTTGCTTTAAGACATTTAGTTTGATAAATTAGTTCAAGACCTCTTAAAGGGATACCTTTATATATATTATGAGAGGAAAGAGAGGAGCTTTACATCATCAATCCGTGGCCCGTTCTGTGACTGTGAGCTGCATTTGCATGTGGGATAGAGATGGTGGCTAGCAAACAAAAACAATCTCTAGCCTTGATTTTCATAAAAAAAAAAAAAAAAAAACCAGACGATGTGTGCGGATCTAATGTGGGTTTGTTGTTCTGCACTCCTATTGATTTTTGATATGACTGTTATCGTTGGAGAAGCCACACTACAGGACTGCGCGTCAAATCTACTGACACTGCCAGATTTTCGTCTGAGGTAAAATTGTATCGCTGTAGTCATTAATCGGCTGTCTGTGAACATGTCAAAATGACGATCAAATACTTCAGATTTTGGCCTGATCAAAGGAATCTTTTAGGATTCACAAAATTCGCAATTTTGTCATATTCAGAGATCTCATTTATGATGTTTTAAGTGAGATTTGAACCGTGTTTGTGGCAGAAGAGGTGTAATACTTGTTTGTGGGTTAGATGATTTATTGTTAGATCACAGATCTTTCCCTTTTAGTGTATATTACAGCTGCTTCCATGCGATTATCAATGAAGTACAACCACAAAACCTGCTAAACTCTTTGAAGTCACACAAACTGCAAGGGAAAAGCGGATGCATTGTGGCTTTTCAAGACTCTAAACTTTACTCTTCAATGTAGATGCAGTTTTTTGTTCTCTCCATCATCTCTCTGGGCTTCCTGTGAGCCAAAGACTCTTATTCCCTCTGAAAATGAAACTTGTATGCCAGGGACACTGGTGTCATTTGTCTTTTCCGACACGTACAGCCAGCACTGCTGTAACCACATTAGCGGCAGGTTATTTGTGTAAACACAGCATGCATTTTAAAATGAGATGTTGCTTTAAAAAAAAAAAAATTACAATGAGAGTTTAGATGGTGTTGCTGCTTTGTCTGGATTCATACGTGATTTCAGCATCCGATGACACGCATTTACATTTGTAACAGGATTTTAATGCTGACTTTGCAAGTTTGCATATTGTTTCTTATAGTTGGAAGTGTAATGATTTTAACATCATTGTGAAAGCATGTTCGCAAACTGTTTTACTTGTGTAATCTGACGTGTTTAAAAATAACAGCATTTTAAACTAGCTAAAATGTAGGATGGGATTTGATTTTTACGTATCACGAATTGATTGATACCAGAATAAAGTAAAGTGGGTCGAAGAGTTTGAAAAAAAAAATCAAAATGATGTCAACAGGAAAATCCTATTTTTTGAAATACTAGAAAATACATGCATATGCGAATCTAAAGGTTGATTTTGTGTCGTCAGGTTGTAAAACGTGTCAAGTCGAATGTATTTATAGTGCTTCTTTCAATACACATTGTTTCAAAGCAGCTTTACAGAAAATCATGATGTTAATGCTTATAATATCTTAATATCTCCATGCCTTTTTGTCACATTTAAAAGATTAGAGCTGTCAATAATATAGTTTCCATTTTGAGACGATACAAGAAATCAAGCAGTTGAGATATCGCAAGCAGATGCTAAATGAAGTTGTGGCTGCTTATTGTTTTGGAACATTGGAAACTGTGATACTCTTTGATGAATAGAAAAGTTTCATTCTCAGCATTACAAAGGCCATAATGGAGGTGTTTCAAGTTAGTAATTGGTCTTTATGTTGACCTTTGACATTTTATTAATAACTTCACTTTTTTTTTTTGTGACCGACAGGAAAAGAAGCCCATCAGCAACCAGAGATCCAAACCAAAAATACGACCAAAGGGAGGAAAAGGCGGAGCGTTCGCAGTATGCCCCAGGGGAGGGCGGCATGCCACGATCACCGTCTGACTACGGGGCCGGAGACCGCCAGTGGCGGGGAGGCTACGGTCGCTCCTACGAGGACGCAGAGGTAGCGCGAGGGGCGTACCGTGCTCGACGGGGCGGCTGGCACTCTCAGGAAGAGTACCCTCCCGAACCCGGCTTCCTGCCCGACGGCCCGCCCCTCAGCGAGCACGAGCTCCAGCGCCAGCGGCAGGAGGAGTACCAGAACCGCTACCGCAGCGACCCCAATCTGGCCCGATACCCAGTCAAACCACAACCTTACGAGGAGCAGATGCGCATGCATGCCGAGGTCTCGCGCTTCAGACACGAACGCCGCCACAGCGACGTCTCCCTGGCGTACACTGAGATGGAGGAGCCCCTCGGGCCCCTGCGAGGTCCCCACTACTCACCGGGTCCCGGACAAACCCACTGGAGGTCCAACCACAGTCCCCCCAATGTGGACTCCCTTCACAGGCAGCAGCTGCTGGATCCCGCCTCGGCCGTGCGGAAGAGTAAACGAGAGAAGATGGACAGCATGCTGCGGAATGACTCGCTCAGTTCCGACCAATCAGAGTCCGTCAGGCCGCCGCCGCCCAAACCTCACAAGACCAAGAGGGGCGGAAAAATGAGGCAGGTGTCGCTGAGCAGCTCCGAGGAGGAATTGGCCACAACACCCGAGTACACCAGCTGTGAGGACGTGGAGATCGAGAGTGAGTCTGTGAGCGAGAAAGGTAATGCAGCTCTTCATGAATTATATATATTTATAAATATAAATTACCATTCAAAAGTTTGGGGTTCGTAAGATTTTTTGAAGGTTTTTGAAATAAGTCTCTTTAGGCTTAGCAAGGCTGAATTTATTTGATTAAAAATACAGTAAAAGCAGTAATATTTTTACAATTTAAAATAGCTGTTTTATATTTGAATATATTTTAAAATGTAATTTATTTACGTGATGACAAAGCTGTATTTTCAGCATCACTACTCCAGTCTTCAGTGTCACATGATCCTTCGGAAATCATTCTGACATGCTGATTTGCTACTCAAGAAACATTTCTTATTATTATCATATTGTCATATTTTTGTGGGAACGGTGATAAATTTTTTTTTCAGGATTTGTTGATTAATAGAAAGTTCAAAATAAAGCATTAGTTTAAAATGTAAACCTTTCGTAACTTTTTAAATGTCTTTACTGTCTTTAATGGATCCTTTCTGAATACAATTTATTAAAAAAATCTTACCACAAACTTTTGAACTAGTGAATGTTTATGCAATGAAGATCTAATGCTAATAGATTAAAGCTGTTGCTAATCTTAGTTTTATTTACATGTAAGTAATTAAATTAAGAATACTTTTAGAATAATATTTAATATGCTGATAACCTTTGATTGATGCTGATGTTTCACAGTGTGTGTATGTGAATGGCCAGAGTGTGTGTGTGTGTGTGTGTGTGGTCAGGGAGTACGAGGAGAGATGTGTGTATTTCTTTCAAGGGGAGTCACTGTGTCCGTCAGTGTTGGAGTGGAGAAGCTTTAAAACTGCTATTTAAAGTAATTCAACTACAGTCAAATTATTAAAAAGTAGTTAGCTACAATAGAAGCTACGATAAAAAAGTAGTTAACTGCAATGAAGTCAAAAACATAATGCTGAAAAGCAGTGCTTATCTAAATATTTAGCTATAAAAAAGACATAAAAAGGACATGAATCAGTGAATCGCTTCATTTTGAACTGGTTCATTTACATGAACTGTCCAAAGGAATCAATTTACTGGAATAAATTTGATACCCACACAATTTAGGAACAAGTTTTTGATTATTTCCTCAGCTGCTGGAAAATCCCTTGTCGTTGGTTACTCTCCAACACTGGTGTCCATTTACAGTTTGTATGACTTGTGTGTATTGCTTTCTATCTCTGTGTATTTGTAAGTGTGTATTGTTTTCTCTCTGTTGTCCTCCAGTGACAGATATTGCTGGGTCTTGGTTCCTTCAGATCAGATGTAATGGATTAGGTTACATAACAGAGGAATAGAGTGGAAAAGAAAGAGTCAGAGATAAGGAAAGAGAGAAATATAAGAGCAAGCGAGAAAAAGAGATGAGATTATTGTGTAGTCTCATAAATATTAATATTATAAGTGCACTTATTTATCCACTTTAGAAGTTTTACACCTAAAGAAATAAGTAGGATGCTTGAGAAATCTTATATTTTTCTTGAAGAAAATTAAGCCAAAAATGTTCCCACCAAATACCTTACTGTAATGTAAAACAAGGGCATATTATTTCAGTTGAATTGTGTGAAGTATTTATACATTACAACAGTATGTTGTACTGCACTTAATGTATGCTAATTTAAATTAATGAATGCATTGTGATAATGAGAAAATGTGCTTAGGTGTCCAAAAAAGAATGTCAAATGCACACACTCCTTTTTCCAAAAGTGAAGTAAACAAATCAAGTGCACCTTTGTTTTGGGTTACGATTTTGGGTTAGTTGTGGGCAAGAATACATTGTGACAAGATTGGTGTAAAAAAATGTATCCGAAAAGGTGGACGAGTTGAGAGAAATATTGATTACAAATGTATTTTAGTACTGAAACGTAAATTATTATACTCGGTTTTGTATTATTATGCAAATTAAAGCATCAAGTTATTAGCTTAGCAACGTGTCCTGCTAATTTATTCGAATTCATTGCGTCTCCCATGCATTTTATTTACTGCGTAGACAACAAACAGGAAGGTCTTTCAGTTGTGTGGCAGGACGGAGAATTGCAGAAAGAACAACTCATTCCGAGCCACTTATATAAGCATATAGAGACAAAACCCAGCGTACAGTTGTACATTATTGATGTTCCGCTCTTCCAGGTTTCACAGCCACACTTCTAACCAGAGGAGTGGAGTAACGCTCTCTCTGAAGGTCAGGTGGGTTTTAGGGAGGAGGGGAGAGCACACCAGGCCAGATAAGACTGCCTTTCCCGTCAGCTTTATCGCACATGAGAGCCGAGCTCAGTGGAGATACTCCACAGGGATAGTAGCGTTTCTGCATGATTACAAATCGACAATCGGCCATTCTACTTGATTCCATCATTGTGTTATTGGTTCAGCTGGTTTATATACAAACATTTTCTTCACTTTTAATGGATAGTTTACCCAAGGCATAATTTAATCACTCTCAAGTTGTTCCAAACCTGTATGAATTTCTTTCTTCTGCTGAACACGGAACAAGATATTTTGAAGAATGTTGGTAACCAGACAGTTGACGGACTGGAGTATCTTCTTTTATCTTCTTTTGTGTTCAGTAGAGGAAAGAATCTCATACAGGGTTGGAACAACTTGAGGGTGGGTAAATGATGACAGAATTAAAAATTTTGGGTGAACTATCCCTTTAAGGTGTGTGCATTAAAAAAAAAATTTTTAAATACTTTCTTCTATCCCAGTTAAAATGTGCTAGTTCAGACAACTATATATTTTCCAGAAATGTGTAAACACTGGTGCTTTCAAAACATTGTTCTGTTTGTTTGATCAGCCCGGCATAGCAACAGTGGCCCAGCCAATGGTGTGAGTTTAGGGCAGGGCTACCTGTTTGTTTGACCAATAGCAGATAGGCTGAATGTAATTTGCTATTTTGTTATGTGATGCTAGTGGAGCAGAAATTGGTATGAAACAAAATCAGAGATGGACATTCTTATTATTGGGAGATATGAGGGTCCGTGTCTCTACCATTGCAGAAAGCGTAACGGCTAACTTGGATCGCGTGTGCCTTGAAAACCAATCACATTACAGTGACGTCATTGAGTTTCTTTCAAAGTTGTGCGGCGGTCAATCACTGTTTGCGGATACTGTAGAAATGAATGAGAAGGGTTGTAAACTAAATCTTACCTGTCGTGCAATTGTCAGTGACTTCTCTTATAAAACAGCATATTTTTTTTTTGTGTATAAACTCAAAAATAGATCAATCCAAAATGAATGTTTAAGGGCAAACATGTTGATTAATGAACATGTCATTAAATGAATCAGCAGTTTTTTCATCGTAGTGAAGCCTCTACATTGACCTCCACAAACATTTTTTTTAAAATATAATAATAAATATATTCAAATGTATACATTTCACCACTAGTGGCATAAGTTGCACAAAAATAATCACTACCTTTCAAAAGATTGGGGTCAGTATTTTTTTTAGAAGAAGTTTAATATTTTTATTCAGCAAGGATGCAGTACATTGATCTAAAGTGGCAGTAAAGACATTTATAATGTCACAAAATATTTCTATTTCAAATAAATGCTGTTATTTTAAACTTTCTATTCATCAAAGAATCTTGAAAAAAAAAAAAAATTCTTTTTTGATGAAAAAAACAATTTCTTTTATTTTAAATTTAAAAATAATAATTCACAATGGAACTGTTTACTGTATTTTTGATCAAATAAATGCATCCTTGGTGTGCATAACATTTAAAGGGGTGGTATAATGCCCCTTTTTATAATATGTAAAATAAGTCCCTGATGTCCCCAGAGTGTGTATGTGAAGTTTTAGCTCAAAATACCCCACAGATCATTTTTTACATTGTTAAAATGGTTCCTTTTTGAGGGTGAGTAAAAACGCGTAGTTTCGTGTGTCCCTTTAAATGCAAATGAGCTGCTGCTCCCGAGCTTCAAGAGCGCGTGTGTGTGTGTGTGTGTGTGTTAGCAGCTCCGATTACCTCAAGCAGACACACTAAAATGTCAGAAACTGTTCTGCCTTTTATGTTTAAATTGGAGTCGGACAATGATGGAGAGACTCAAGAAGAAGTGACTCCATGTAGAATGCAACAGGATGTTTCTGAATGGTTAGTTGATGAATTTATGTTGCTGATGTGGAGTTAACTATCTTCAAGTCTTTGATTAGCATGTTCTGTCATGAAAATTATCGGGTTTGTGATGTCACTAACCCGGGAGGAATGTCATGTAGTCCCTACCAGCCGTTTGTTGTAGTCCTTAAAAAACGATTTCTTTAAAAGCAAATATCTTCCTTTGCTTTGAAATTTGAGCGTTGCAACGTTGCAGATGTTGTTTATGCTCACACAGCAACATTACACACTAACTAAAGTTAGTAAAAGGAAATCATCATCAACCACCCCTTTAAAAGAAACTGGACGGTAATGTACATTTTCATGACTAATACATATTCAGACACACCATTCAGTTTATGTACTGCATTTTGCATACTACTGTATATAATAGGGAAGTACGCATATTAAGACAGGGAGAGAAGGGATTGGAAAGTGTCACAGTGTCACAACCTAATAATAGCGAACACAGAGCATAGGAAAGGAAAGTATTTTAACATTGAAAAACATTACACAAAGCTAATGCATTAAACACAATATCTAAAACTTGGATAGCAATTTTGACATCTGATGTCTTTGGACACTATTAGAGTTCAACTTTAGCCATGAACTGGTTGTCATTTTTGTTTGAGCAGCAGACATTTTGTTTATTTCAGGCTTCCTGTTCTGAATGCAGGTTTTGACGTTATTTGTTTTGCCGGCTGACTGTCTGAAGATCAGATGTAATGAGGTGAAAGCAGGTTACCATGGCATCCGCTTGGCTGCAGGCCTGTTTTGGGATCTGGATAAGCTGCTTGCATTCGCTCTGCATTCAGACCTGCTCTCAGACCAGTCAAAAAGACCACAGACGATTCCGGGCAAATTATGTAATGAACCCAAAAAACCCCACAGTGATCAGAAAACATTTGAGGCGGAGCTT